GCTAATCTTCATTTTATTCCAAAAATAGATATATACAAACTGATTATATAAAAATCAGAGACATATCAAGATACATATATATACATATATGTATGCATGTTCATATAATTGTGTTTTTTTCCTAACCTTAGAGTAAACATTTGTCTATAAAAATATACAGGTAATTATTCTAATGTGAGATCCTTCAAATTCAGCTTAGAAAGGAGTTCCATAGGAGTTGGATGGGGCAGCTGGGGCACCGTAGCCGTTGCTTGGGGCAGGGGGGGCACCGTAGCCGTTGCCGTTGCTGCCTCCATTTCCGTTCCTTCCGTTTCCGTTGGAGCCGTATCCATTGCTTCCGTTCTTGCCGTTTCCGTTTCTTCCGTTGCCATTGGAGCCGTACCCATTGCTTCCGTTCTTGCCGTTTCCGTTCCTTCCGTTGCCGTTGGAGCCATAGCCGTTACCGTTGCCGTTGGTGGCGGGTCCATAGGCGTATCCGGCGTCGGGAACGACTCCGATGAGTTCGTTGACGGAGTAGAAGCTCTCAGCTTGAGAACAGTCCACGTTGAACCACCAGTCACATACCAGGTACTGCTGGTTGAAGATGGTACCGTTGGGGCACAGGAACGAGTCCTGTTGGCGCCTGAGGGCGCGGTCCTGGCAGATATGGAACACCTGGCAGCCGGCTTCAGCTGCAGTGTCGGCGTAATAACCTTGCACCGCCTGGGCATCGCACGAGAACCCGGTGTCGGGCACGGAAGCCAAGATGGGGTAGTCCTCGCCGGGGACGCCGCCCCCGGGAATGTTCTCGGCCAAAGCGGCAATCTCAGGGTCTACTCCGTAGGCGCCGTTGGGCGTGCCATAGGTGTTCCTGGGAGCTGCATAGCCGTTGCTAGGAGGAGCAGGTGCTCCGTAACCGTTGCCGTTTCCGTTTCCATTTCCGTTGAATCCGTTGGTGGGTGCACCATATCCGTTGCTGGGAGGAGGAGGTGCTCCGTAACCGTTTCCGTTGCCGTTACCGTTTCCGTTGGTGGGTACACCATATCCGTTGCTGGGAGGAGGAGGTGCTCCGTAACCGTTACCATTTCCGTTGAGGCGGTCGGCCACAACGACGCCAAGGATTGCTGTGGATATATAATAAGAACATTTGCATGGGGAACACACAAACACCTATATATGTACCGTCTATATACACACACACAGATTTCTATGTGTAAATGTCTATAAATATGTACATGTTTATATCTATGTATCAGTGCATGAATTCAGCAGTTCAGCAGTTTGAGGGGAACGCTATACTTTCCGCGGGTATTCTATATGAGTACAAAAGGCAGAGATAATAACGAACCACAGAGGATGAGGGACTTCATGGTGAGGCTCAGAAGCGGGAGAGGAGGAGGAGAGTGACGATGACCGACTGGCGGCCAACCTTTATACTCGAAGACGGTTCAGACTCCGCCCACCGACCTTCGTTCTGACTTGGTTTAGCTGTCAGTGTGAAAAACGAGGTCGCTGCTACAGAAAAGGCATGATGTTTGGGAATTTAACAGAAACTTGCACACACGCACACACACATATATGTATGTATGTATGTTTTTTTTTTTTCTTTTTTTTATAAATATATATGTGAATATGTGTCTGTGTGTACATATATAATATATATGCATATACATATATGTGTGTGCATGAATAAATATGTGAACATATATATGTATATATATACACATACAGGCATACATATATATACATATATATACATATACCTATATACACATACGTGTGGAATTCATGTCGAACAAATGGCAAATAAAACACCGAAAAAATATATATGCCGAAGGCGTTTTCGCTTTACTTCTTCAGAAGAAGCAATAAATCGAAAAGGCCTTTGGATTATTTCTGTTTTCCTGTACTTTCCTCCTTGTTCTGTTTGCAATCATAAATACATACATACAAAAATACCTTACGATTCAGATTTATAATCATATCGTTTATTTAGTCAAAACATTAGTATATCAGAGTTTAAAAATAAATACATAAACATTAACATATCTGACAGTGCTAGCAGAACCTTCAGAGAGAGAGACAAAGCTCGCTTTGAGTTCAAGAAACTGAAATAAAAATGTACAAATCATAAAAGATATTAGAATATTGCACAAAGTATTGTGTGAAAACAAAGAAGACATTTCACATGACACAGATGATTATACGAGGATGAGATTAATATTGCGACGAAACAAACTTTTGTAGAAATTTCCTGAAGAACAACAGTGAGGTTTTGTCTCTGAAGCACGCTGGTAGGGAGATCTCTTTTCCTTTGACCGGATATAGTACGAATGGCTCGCTTTTGTGTGATGTGGAGACTGTTGCTGACTCTTTTGGCAGCAGAACCCATTTGCTTTGGCAGTAAGTTAAACCAACGTAAATTAGTGACTGACGTGGGGCTTCCAAGTTAACCATTCGTCTAACATGACGCCTAGATATTTAGTTTGATTCCTTTTGGATAAAATTTTGGTTCCGATGTTTTGTCTTGAGTATCATGAGATTCCTTTATGTATATATATGTATATATATAAATATATATTTTTTTTTTGAGGAGGGGTGGTAGAACATACTGTTCATTGGAATGAAGACACATGTACATCAGCATTCGATATTTTTAGTTTAGTCCTTTATTTACCATCCTGGCTAACTGCACAGGCGTGGGCAAGCTGTGGTACATTTAATGCATGGTCATAACATTATATAGTGGTATTACATTTGGATATTATCCTATAACATTGTTATAAGTACTTTATCAGTTCAAGGAAAGGAACAATTGCACTCGATATTGAAATGAAATGGGGAGTGAATTGTTATAGACTTTCAGATTGTTATCATCAACGAATAAAAGGGAATTAAAGGTTTCGTAGTGATAACATATCATTCAGATATCAAACAAATAGAAAATAGATTTCATGGGCCTCTGCAGCTAATTTACATTAGTTACCCGTGAACTGAACAGTTGAGTTAAGAAGCGAAACATTGCTTAGCAGTCCCTCTAGTCCCATAGCTTTTAAGTTTACTCGAGAAAATGGTGTGATATACCGTGTCAAGGTTTTGGATAGGTCTAGGCACACGCCATTTGTGAATTTTCTTTCGCCAAATGCATGATAGGAGTGAGTAGCGAGTAAAGTTGTTGCTTCACCAGTTGAATTAGCTTTTCTAAAACCTTGCTTGCAATGTTTAATATCTCGTTTTCTTTCCAGGTTTCTCATCTGTTGTTTTTATTTATTTTTTTTACAGAATTTGATATCAATGGCATGCTTACCTCCGCTTTTAAAGGCTGTTTGGATCTTGGCATTCTTCAATAATTGTGGAAAAAGGCCTGTAGTTAATGATGAATTTATGAGACGGACATGAATGATATTATAGGACACTTTTTTTATAAGACCAATGCCTATTGTCTGTGGTGACATACTATATCAAGCATTTCGTTGTTAGTCCGAAAAGTACGAAAGCGTTTTGTTGACGAATGGCAAGGAAAATAGTAGAATCGACTAAGGTGTCATGTGTGCGAGTATATCATCATCATCATGAAGGGGCTAATGCTGACGGGGGCGCATGGCCGTATCCACCCTTCGCTTCCAGCCACGAGGGTCTCTCATGGCGAGTCTCCAGGTAGGCCATCGGCCCACCTCTAACTCCTCGCGACAGGTCTCGTCGAGCTGGCCAAGCCATGACCTCCTAGGTCGTCCCACGGGCCTCCTCCACCCAGGATTGTCTCGCAGAGAGACAACCTGATGGGCAGGGTCATCCATAGGGTAACGAGCTAGGTGCTCATATAACCTGAGTTGGCGATCCCGGATTATGCAAGTAACAGGTCTCATGCCGGTCTCACGGTGTAGCCGTCAGTTGGACACGGGATCCTGCCAACTGTGCCCCATGATCCGGCGTGGGGACTTGTTACAAAAGGCGTCAAGACGAGACTCCAAGGCACTAGATAACGTCCAGGTTTCCCTTCCATAGAGCAAAACTGGCAGTATCAAGGACTTGAAGACACGTAGCTTGGTCCTTCTGCATAGGTACCGACATCTCCAAATGCTCTTGGTGATCGAGTTGATGGCTCCTGCTGCCAGCCCAATCCATCTAGTAACTACTCTACACACACACATGAATTTCAAACAACCCAGAGACATGGACTATGCAACCAAGGTATGCAAAGCTCTCTGTGCCTTTAACGTACTCACCGCAAGCATGAACCGACTGGACCCGCCAGTCCTCTAAGCTCAAGGGCTTCGCCTCATTGCTAAATGCATCAAGAGTATATGTAAGGATATATATATACACATACCATTATTTGTGCATGTTGATATATGCATCCACACGCATATATATCATCAAGTACACATGCATGCGCGCACCACACCCACCTGTATGTATCTGTGTGCATGCATGTGTACGTGTGAGTGAAGGATTCGTGTTGAACAGACAAGAGTGTATGTTACTTATGTATCTGTCTTTTTATATTTACATTTTTGTACATACATTCATAATGCATTGATGATGATGGTTACAATACTAGTAATGGTAATAATATGAATGATATTGACAGTGATAACGAGATTATCACGACGATGATGATAAAATATCGTGTTTTTTGTCATTGGAAGCGATAACGATAGTAATAGTAATGATATCAATAAAAATTGTAACAAGGAAGGTCTCATGCAAGAAAATGTACAAATGATTATGAAACTGTTAAGTATAATACAGATGGCTAATGTTCATTTTATTCCAAAAATAGATATATACAAACTGATTATATAAGAAAAATCTGAGATATCAAGCATACAGATATAAAGTCAAAAGGGAATGTGTAACGTTAGAGTAAGCATCTCTATAAAAATATACAGGTAACTATTCTAATGTGAGATCCTTCAAATTCAGTTTAGAATGGAGTTCCATAGGAGTTGGATGGGGCAGTTGGGGCACCGTAGCCGTTGCTTGGGGCAGGGGGGGCACCGTAGCCGTTGCCGTTGCTGCCTCCGTTTCCGTTCTTTCCGTTTCCGTTGGAGCCGTATCCATTGCTTCCGTTCTTGCCGTTTCCGTTCCTTCCGTTGCCGTTGGAGCCATAGCCGTTACCGTTGCCGTTGGTGGCAGGTCCATAGGCGTATCCGGCGTCGGGAACGACTCCGATGAGTTCGTTGACGGAGTAGAAGCTCTCAGCTTGAGAACAGTCCACGTTGAACCACCAGTCACATACCAGGTACTGCTGGTTGAAGATGGTACCGTTGGGGCACAGGAACGAGTCCTGTTGGCGGCTGAGGGCGCGGTCCTGGCAGATATGGAACACCTGGCAGCCGGCTTCAGCTGCAGTGTCGGCGTAATAACCTTGCACCGCCTGGGCATCGCACGAGAACCCGGTGTCGGGCACGGAAGCCAAGATGGGGATAGTCCTCGCCGGGGACGCCGCCCCCGGGAATGTTCTCGGCCAAAGCGGCAATCTCAGGATCTACTCCGTAGGCGCCGTTGGGCGTGCCATAGGTGTTCCTGGGAGCTGCATAACCGTTGCTAGGAGGATCAGGTGCTCCGTAACCATTGCCGTTTCCGTTTCCGTTTCCGTTGAAACCGTTAGTGGGTGCACCATATCCGTTGCTGGGAGGAGGAGGTGCTCCGTAACCGTTTCCGTTACCGTTACCGTTTCCATTTCCGTTGAATCCGTTGGTGGGTGCACCATATCCGTTGCTGGGAGGAGGAGGTGCTCCGTAACCGTTACCATTTCCGTTGAATCCGTTGAGGCGGTCGGCCACAACGACGCCAAGGATTGCTGTGGATATATAATAAGAACATTTACATGGAGAATACGCAAACACCTATATATGTACTGTCTATATACACGCATACACTGATTTTTATGTGCATATAAATGTCTATAAATCTGTATGTTTATTTCTACATATCAGTGCATGAATCTGCAAGATTGCTGAATCTTAAAGATGAAATCTTACTGATCTTATTAGACTCAGAATCAAAACTACACGTTCTTGGAAGTTCAGCAGTTTGAGGGGAACGCTATACTTTCCGCGGGTATTCTATATGAGTACAAAAGGCAGAGACAATAACGAACCACAGAGGATGAGGGACTTCATGGTGAGGCTCAGAAGCGGGAGAGGAGGAGGAGAGTGACGATGACCGACTGGTGTCCGACCTTTATACTCGAAGACGGTCCAGACTCCGCCCACCGACCTTCGTTCTGACTTGGTTTAGCTGTCGGTGTGAAAAACGAGGTCGCTGCTACAGCAAAAGCCCGACGTTTGGGAATTTAGCAGAAACTTGCACACACATATATGTAGGAATGAATGTTTGTATATATAGAAAAATATGTATATATACATATATATATGTAAATATATACATATAAGTATATGCGTATAAATATGTATATACATGTGTGTGTATGAAAGTGTGTTTGTGTGTACAAATATATAAATATATGCATACATATATATATTTTCATTATTCATATATATAAGCATTTAGATATATATATGCACACATGTATATGTGTGTGTGAATGAATATGTAAATATATATATGTATATATACATACAGGCACCTATATATGGATATGCATATACGTATGTATATATTAATATGAGATTGGTATATGTATGTGTATGTGTTTGTAAATGATAAACATATATATGTGAAAATATATGTGTGTGTGTCTGCAGTCATGCTGTACACTTCATTAATGAACTAGCGAAGGGAAGAACAAGAATACATACATATATATGTATATATATATATATATATACATACATACATACATATATACATACACACACACACACACACACACACACACACACACACACACACACATATATATATATATATATATATATATATATATGTATGTATGTATATATACACATGAATGTGTACACACGCACACACACGCATATATTTATATATTTATCTACATATGCACACATATATAATACACACACACACACATATATATATATATGCATACACACATACACTCATATATGTATGTATGAATATACATATATATATGTACATATATATATATATATATATATATATATATATATATATATATGTATATATGTGTGTGTGTGTGTGTGTGTGTGTGTTTGTGTGTGTGTGTGTGCATGTATATATATACATACATATGTATATATTTATTTATATATATATATGTATATATATACATATATGCTTGTGTGTGTGTGCAGTCATGCTGAACAAATTGAAAATAAAAGAACGAGGAGAAGAACAAGCAAGCACGAATGAGCCGGAGGTCCATTTGATGTACATCTTCTTCCTGCCGTGAAGAACGAACAGATCGAAAGGACCTCCGGCTTATTCGTGTTTTCTTGTTCTCCTCTTTGTTCTTTTATTTAATGTGTATAATTGCTTACAATAACGTAAATGCATAGATATATACAAACCACCAAATTTAGAATCAGATTCATAACATTTACTTTGCTAAATGATGGGCATAGATAAGCATAAAAAGATACATGCGTGACAATAGTTTTTTTATTATTATTGACTGAAATAAAAACATACAAGTTTTATAAGACATTGATGTTTATGTGATTATCCAGTTTAGTTTTGAGTATCCTGAGTACTTTTTTAAATATAATTTAGTGGGATTTATCTATGATTAGAATAAGTTTATTAACATAAAGCCATTCATTGAGAGGGAGAGTGAGCTGTGAGAGCCGTATAAGCAAAGACTAATCTCATGGGACTATTTATGAAATGCTTATTCAAATGTTGGACAATTGCCTTTGCATCCCTCACTTCCTGGCCTTCGGTGTTCACTGACTGAGACAGACACTGTAGCCTTTGTTCAAAATGGGGCATATCAGAGGTGTCCAACTCAAAACCCTTCGAGGGTCGAATTTCATCTGATTTCTATCTTGAGCGCCAGAAATGCTACATACTTAGCTTCCCAGAAGTACGATAGTATTATCTCTGATCTTACATACAAACACGTAAAATCTATTGGACGTAACTTGTAGGTAGGAACACTAATGGTAACAAAGTGTATATGTATATACATTAGTCATGGGCTGCTAGTTTATTGCATAATTTTACTCCATTCTTTAAACACAATAAGTCTATTTTGTCATGTCATCATACACTTAACTATTACTTGGAGTGGAAAGCCACAGTTGGCCCGCGAGCCATGATTTTGACATCCTTGGTGTAGATTATCTTCCAAATTTCCTTAGGGTCTCCCGATTTGTTTTAAGCTTGTCATGAAAATACTGCCGTTTCCATTAGGAATCATTAAATTGATTTTAGTTTAATCTCCTGAAAGACTTCTACTATGCTTCATCAAGAATCTTTTCATTTTCAATTAATTTATTGCTCATATACAAAAATATTATTTGTGTTTTGCTTTGATCACAGTTCTTTTAATTTCTGCATTACCATGCAGTAAAGACTCTTACTTCATTAAGATGCCCATAGAAGAGCCTACTCTGAGGAAATACATTCTCCATTGGATAGTTGCAATACAAATGAGTAAAAATAATTGGTTTTATTTCAAAATATCGATATGTGGAAAATTCTTGCGCATACATACTGGAAAGAGACACACACATAGAAAAGCTAATCTAAGCAAATTCCTTTCTAAGGGAAAGAGAGGGAAGTCTAATTTAGAAAGGAGCTCCGTAGGAGTTGGATGGGGCAGCTGGGGCACCGTAGCCGTTGCTTGGGGCAGGAGGGGCACCGTAGCCATTGTCGTTACTGCCTCCGTTTCCATTCCTTCCGTTTCCGTTGGAGCCGTATCCATTGCTTCCGTTCTTGCCGTTTCCGTTCCTTCCGTTGCCGTTGGAGCCATAGCCGTTACCGTTGCCGTTGGTGGCGGGTCCGTAGGCGTATCCGGCGTCGGGAACGACTCCGATGAGTTCGTTGACGGAGTAGAAGCTCTCAGCTTGAGAACAGTCCACGTTGAACCACCAGTCACATACCAGGTACTGCTGGTTGAAGATGGTACCGTTGGGGCACAGGAACGAGTCCTGTTGGCGCCTGAGGGCGCGGTCCTGGCAGATATGGAACACCTGGCAGCCGGCTTCAGCTGCAGTGTCGGCGTAATAACCTTGCACCGCCTGGGCATCGCACGAGAACCCGGTGTCGGGCACGGAAGCCAAGATGGGGTAGTCCTCGCCGGGGACGCCGCCCCCGGGAATGTTCTCGGCCAAAGCGGCAATCTCAGGGTCTACTCCGTAGGCGCCGTTGGGCGTGCCATAGGTGTTCCTGGGAGCTGCATAACCGTTGCTAGGAGGAGCAGGTGCTCCATAACCGTTACCATTGCCGTTTCCGTTTCCATTTCCGTTGAATCCGTTAGTGGGTGCACCATATCCGTTACTGGGAGGCGGAGGTGCTCCGTAACTGTTACCGTTTCCGTTTCCATTTCCGTTGAATCCATTAGTGGGCGCCCCATATCCATTGCTGGGAGGAGGAGGTGCTCCGTAACCATTGCCGTTTCCGTTGAATCCGTTGGGGCGGTCGGCCACAACGACGCCAAGGATTGCTGTGGAGATATATTTGTCAACAGTTATGACACTGTGCTTTATAACCCCTTAGAGTGAGACATACACAACATCTGAACGGAATATAATCATCTCATATTCCATATCTTCGCATTGAAAAACTGAATCATCTTTATACACATATGTACACACATACACACACACACGCACACACACACACACACACACACATATATATATATATATATGCATATATATGTGTTTGCATATATATATTATATATAGTGCATATATATATGTGCGCGTGATCTAAACTGCATTACTCGAAACCAACCATAGAAGATGAGTGACTTCATAGTAAGTTCTAAGAAGCGGAAGAGGAGGGAGAGTGACGATGACCGACTGGCGGCCAACCTTTATACTCGAAGGCGGTCCAGACTCCGCCCACCGACCTTCGTTCTGACTTCGTTTAGCTGTTGGTGTGAAAAACGAGGTCAAAGTTTAAGGAAATGGTATGGTATTGAGCTGTGAACGACAGTGAGAGAAACAAAGCATTTTTTTTATTTATTGAGGATCCACAAGATTCCTGATCTGAGTCTTCGTTGTTAGCATAAAACGTGTTTCTTTCTTCTTCTTTTTACTTCGCAGTTTTATTTGCAGTTTGAATGTGTGACTGCATGTGTGTATAATTATCATCATATGAATGTAATAAAATTATCGATTTTAGTAATGTTAGTTAAAAATTATAGTAGTAATGATGAATTTGATAATGATAATGATTGTAATAATAACTGTAATTTAATGATAAAAATAATATCAATAATCATATTGCCAGCAACAATAATGATAATGATAAGAATAAGAATGATAATGATGATCATGATGATAATAACAATGATAATAATAACAATGATAATAATAATAATAATGATAATGATGATGATGAGGATGATATCAGTAATAATGGTGATAGTAAAAGTAATATATATTATAATTATTAATACTGTTATTATTATTATTATCATCATCTTAACAATCAAGATAAAAGTGATAATGATCATAATAACAATAATGATGATAATAACAGAAATGATAATGATAATAACACAAATGATAATGATGATAATGATAATGACAGCAAAGTTAATGATAATGATAATGATCATAATAATAATGATAATGATAATGATCATAATAATAATGATAATGATAATGGTAATAATGATAACAATAATAGCAACAATAATAATGAGGTGGATAATGTAATAATAAAAATAATGATAAAAATAACGATAGTAGTAATAATGATAACAATAATTATAATTATGATAAAGATAATGATAACAACAACAATAATAATAATGATAACAACAAATAACGATAATAATAATAAAAATAACGATGGTAATAATAGCAATAATGATGATGCTAATAATAAAAATAATAATAATAATAATGATAATAATAACAACAATGATTAGGCTACTGTTATGATTACTATGATTATTATCATTATCATTATTCGGAGAGCTGTAGTGAACTCCCTGTCTCTGTATTCCTAAAGTGGATATTAAACCCTGTGGTATAAAGGAACTGTGAATGAATGAAAAAACAACGAGTACTAACTAAACGAGGAGGCAGAAAACTACGAAGGCATGCAATTTGAAGCTCAAGGAATGAAGGGAAGTTTATGTCATTATCAAAAATGGAAAATGATTTTATATATCTGTCTATAAGTCCACCTCAGTTTCTCTGCCTAACTAGCTCTTCACTCCTCTTTCTCTTTCTCTATATTTGCTTGTCTGTTTCTTTATCTTTCTATCTTTCTATCTATATGTCTCCTTCCTCTCTTCAACAGGATGTACTTTCTGAAGAGGAGGAATGCCTGCGGTGATGTCTTTCCCTGGCGTCATCCATGCTTGTTCATGCCTTGTAGAAGATGACAAAATGTGGATTTTCTTAAGATAATATGAGCACATAACCAGTATCTATGTGAAACGACGAGAAATATATACAGTTCATCATCCAGCATTCATGCAAAGCAATTTACCCGTAAGAGCTATATCTAATTACATATGCTAACATAAATTATTTTTACAAGAATACACTATTATTGAGAGAAAGAAACGTCATTTAGATCTTGGTTCATCATCGACCAATAAATGTGTAGAGATTTCAACTTGAAAGGAATTTATTTAGAATTTGACTTTGACCTTGATAATATTTTTAGCATAACTCGAAAATAGTTTTTTTTTTTACACTTTTTTTTTTCTTGATATCGTTTTGAATATAGTTTAAAATATTCCTGATGCATGTGTTGCCTTTTGTTTTTACACATTATCTATCAATATAGTTTTTGCTGGTATCATCCTAAAAATATTGGGGAAACACATTTCTGATGAATGTTTTTTTATTTCTTTAACCCTTTTTTTGCTGTCTTCCTGGGGAGGGGACACGTTTCTAAGCATGAGTTATGGCTTGTAACGTATAACAAAAGGCTAAAATTGATACACCAATAATAATGGTTTTTGTTTAGTTCCTCTACGAGACGTAAGATCATTTATGATGAGAGTACATCAGTTTGATCATTCTGAAAGCGGTAGTGTAGTATATTATGTATAAGGACATTTGAACGATAATATCACCCAATCTAATAATTACAGTTGCCCTTCACTCGTTATTGGAATTCCCATTAGATGTAGATTAGGTAAACATTCGTTTTAATTTTGCTGTCTAGAATGACAGTTCAAAACCCAATTCAAACTCGATAGCGGGTATGCACAAACAAACGAGAATTATTCTTATCTTATTTCAAAATATAGATATTTACATATTTTTGTGTCAACAAATTAAGCGGGTAAATCAAATCCTTTATATAGGAACCAGTGACAGCTAGATAGATGGAGAATGAAAAAAAGAACAATAGATACTATGGATACAGGTTATGTGCCTATGAAGTCTAGTTTAGAAAGGAGTTCCATAGGAATTGGATGGGACAGTTGGAGCACCGTAACCGTTGCTTGGGGCAGGGGGGGCACCGTAGCCGTTGCCGCCTCCGTTTCCGTTCTTTCCGTTTCCGTTGGAGCCGTATCCATTGCTTCCGTTCTTGCCGTTTCCGTTCCTTCCGTTGCCGTTGGAACCATAGCCGTTACCGTTTCCGTTGGTGGCGGGTCCATAGGCGTATCCGGCGTCGGGAACGACTCCGATGAGTTCGTTGACGGAGTAGAAGCTCTCAGCTTGAGAACAGTCCACGTTGAACCACCAGTCACATACCAGGTACTGCTGGTTGAAGATGGTACCGTTGGGGCACAGGAACGAGTCCTGTTGGCGGCCTGAGGGCGCGGTCCTGGCAGATATGGAACACCTGGCAGCCGGCTTCAGCTGCAGTGTCGGCGTAATAACCTTGCACCGCCTGGGCATCGCACGAGAACCCGGTGTCGGGCACGGAAGCCAAGATGGGGTAGTCCTCGCCGGGGACGCCGCCCCCGGGAATGTTCTCGGCCAAAGCGGCAATCTCAGGGTCTACTCCGTAGGCGCCGTTGGGCGTGCCATAGGTGTTCCTGGGAGCTGCATAGCCGTTGCTAGGAGGAGCAGGTGCTCCATAACCGTTACCGTTGCCGTTGCCATTTCCGTTGAACCCGTTAGTGGGTGCACCATATCCGTTGCTAGGAGGAGGAGGTGCTCCGTAACCATTGCCGTTGCCGTTACCGTTTCCATTTCCGTTGAATCCGTTAGTGGGTGCACCATATCCGTTGCTGGGAGGAGGAGGTGCTCCATAACCGTTACCATTTCCGTTGAATCCGTTGGGGCGGTCGGCCACAACGACGCCAAGGATTGCTGTGGATATGCATTTCTAAATGTTAAGATATGGAGTGACAATAAATGAAATATAAAATACCTCCCATTATACAGTATAAATGTACATTAATAACGAATATATGATATAATGAAGCCGTTGTGACTATCTGCATTGCTGTATGTATATACAGCATATTATGTAAATATATAAAGATAAAAAATAAAGATCATGAATGTTACATTTTAAGTTGGTTATTATTTTTGTTGAGCATGTATTCGATGGATAAAGAAAATTAGTCTATTAGTCATACACACAAATAGATATATGTGTGTATATATGAGTATATATATATATATATATATATATATATATATATATATATATATTTAAATTCTAGGACGAACCGAAAACGATGAGGGGCTTCATTGCAAGGCGCGGGAGAGGAGGAGGGAGAGTGACGATACACCGACTGGCGGCCAACCTTTATACTCGAAGGCGGTTCAGACTCCGCCCACCGACCTTCGTTCTGACTTAATTTAGCTGTCGGTGTGAAAAACGAGGTCGCTGCTACAGAAAAAAAGTATGATGTATGGAAATTTAGCAGAAAATTAAACACACAAACGTGTGTGTGTGTGTGTTTTCAGGAGCAGAGCGATGTGAATGAAATATCGAATCATAAATGTTTCTGATGATTTTTTTTCTTTCTGGAGCCGATGATGTTTATGCGTATTATATAAGCCACTAGATGATAAAGGAGTAGCTAGTAAACTTTTATAATTCCTGTCTGTGGTTTCTCTGGGTCATCGTCCTCAAGTCTTAGTTTGTAATGACATAATTCCTACTACTTTCATATTATCGTTATTATCAACATATTGACATTACAATTATTTTCATCACTTCATTCTCATTTTGACTAACATTTCATTGCTACAAATTTTAACCTCATTGGTATGTGTCATTCCTTGTGTTGTGTCGCTGTTTTGTTGCTATCATCAATGTTTTCATATTGTTTATACTTCTGTTATTGTCGATGTTTATATTTCACTTCTATATAATTCGATACTTATGAATCAATTCTAAAAAAAAAGTATTAAGCCGATGTTATCGCAGGAGATAATCCGGCAGAACCTGTGGTGCCTTGTATCTTTTTTATCATGACACCGGATACGGAGCCTGACTTTTGGGTAATGTTACACAGAGGGATGATGCTTCTCAATGTAACTATGTAACCAGAAGTAGCAAATGACTGTTGTTTGGTAGTACTTTCTTACGAAACTACTACCAAACAACAGTGCTACCAAGAAGGAATTAGCATTATGCAGTCATTGAATGTTTACTTGAAACTGCTGCTTTGGCCGAGAACTTGGGTGGCGCATATGACAACAATAGATGGCTGGCGAATTCAATATTTTAGAACATATTTCAGGCACAACTAAGACACAGCTATTTGCAAGTTAGAATCAATGATATTTTTGGAATCACAAAGTCCCTTTTAGAAGCTTATACTTCCCCATAAGCCTTTAGTAATGCCAACGCCCCCGGAGAGGCGCTACTGTTTACGAGGAGGACCACTTGGTTCGAACTCTTCTTCGAGGCCAACTTCCCTGAAGATTTGACCCGAATCACGACACATCTCTTGGTGTCGCCAGCTGAAAATAATAATAGAAAAGATAATTCAGTTTTGTTTGCGTTTGATATCTTCAAAATGACTTTTTATTCCTTTGTTCTTCGTTCAGTTAGTCTGCTCACGCCAAACGTAGCTTTTAGGGATCGGATTTACTTTCATGCATAACTTTGCGTAATACTGGATTTAATCTATCTCGCTTCAATGCCTGAACTGATTTCTCCTTTGCGCTTTTTTATGTGCGAGAAATCTTTTGGAGAATAATGATAATGAAACACACATACGTGCATGAATATGATATATATGTGTATTTATGTTTGTATGTATGTATGACTGAGAATGAATTTCTCCACAGCGCAAGATATAGTTCTCATTCCTACTTTTATCTATGTTTGTAATAATGTTAACATACGTGTAAATGTGCACACAGTGCAGGACCTTATTCAGCTGACGAGCAAAGCTTAGTGGGGCTGTAGAGAACAACAGATATCAGATTTTTTTTTTATTGAAATTTCTCGATATTTACAAAAATAAGGCAATCAGGTCAGTCATAAATTATGGATAAAATGTACAATATTCAAATAAAGAGAACGGTTTCGTCTGAGAAAAAGGTAGTTTATATTATCGTGTGAAGGATGAATATAAAGAGAAGAAACTAGGCACGAAACTTAGAACGGAGCTCCGTAAGAGTTGGACGGGGCAGCTGGGGCACCGTAGCCGTTGCTTGGGGCAGGAGGGGCACCGTACCCGTTGCCGTTGCTGCCTCCGTTTCCGTTGGAGCCGTATCCATTGCTTCCGTTCTTGCCGTTTCCATTCCTTCCGTTGCCATTGGAGCCATAGCCGTTACCGTTGCCGTTGGTGGCGGGTCCGTAGGCGTATCCGGCGTCGGGAACGACTCCGATGAGTTCGTTGACGGAGTAGAAGCTCTCAGCTTGAGAACAGTCCACGTTGAACCACCAGTCACATACCAGGTACTGCTGGTTGAAGATGGTACCGTTGGGGCACAGGAACGAGTCCTGTTGGCGCCTGAGGGCGCGGTCCTGGCAGATATGGAACACCTGGCAGCCGGCTTCAGCTGCAGTGTCGGCGTAATAACCTTGCACCGCCTGGGCATCGCACGAGAAGCCGGTGTCGGGCACGGAAGCCAAGATGGGGTAGTCCTCGCCGGGGACGCCGCCCCCGGGAATGTTCTCGGCCAAAGCGGCAATCTCAGGGTCTACTCCGTAGGCGCCGTTGGGCGTGCCATAGGTGTTCCTGGGAGCTGCATAACCGTTGCTAGGAGGAGCAGGTGCTCCATAACCGTTACCGTTTCCGTTTCCATTTCCGTTGAACCCGTTAGTGGGTGCACCATATCCGTTGCTGGGAGGTGGAGGTGCTCCGTAACCGTTACCATTTCCGTTGAAACCATTGGGGCGGTCGGCCACAACGACGCCAAGGATTGCTGTGGGTATGCATTCCTAAATGTTAAAATATGGAGTGACAATTGATGAAATATGAAATAGGAACATGTGTCTTTTTGTAAGATTAATCTCCCACTATACAGTATAAATGGCTATTTTGTTAAAAATGTAATCGATGGATAATGAAAAAAATACTAATCATACACATAGATATATATGTGTATGTATATGTATATGTGTTTATATATGTATATATACATATATATAAGAAAAAATCTAGGACGAACCGAAAACGATGAGGGACTTCATTGCAAGGCGCGGGAGAGGAGGAGGGAGAGTGACGATAAACCGACTGGCGGCCAACCTTTATACTCGAAGGCGGTTCAGACTCCGCCCACCGACCTTCGTTCTGACTTAGTTTAGCTGTCGGTGTGAAAAACGAGGTCGCTGCTATAGAAAAAAATAGTATTTTGCAGAAACTTACACACACACGCACACATCTCTCTCTAAATGTGTGTGTGCTTTCAAGAGCAGGGCGATGTGAGTGAAAATTGATTCAGAGATGTTTGTGATTATTTATTTATCTATTCATTTACGATGAAAATGGAGCTGATGATGATTGTGCGTATTATATAAGCCACTAGATGATAAAGAAGCAGCTCGTAAACTTTTATAATCCAGTCTGTGGTTTCTCTGGGTCATCGTCGTCAAGTCTTAGTTAGTAGTGACTTATCATTCTCACTGTTTTAATATTGTTGTTATTAACATATTGCCAATACAATTGTTTTCATTACTCCATTCTAATTTTGACTACCATTTCATTGTTATAAATTTTATCCTCATTGGCATGTGTCATCTTTTCGTTGTGTTGTGTTGCTATTTTGTCGTTATCATCAGTGTTTTCGTACTCTTTACTATTATTGTTAATGTCTATATTCCATTAATATAAATTTGATACATATGAATCAATTATAAAAAAAACAAAACATTTAGCCGCTGTTATCTTAGGAGATAATCTGGCAGAGCCAACCAAGAACTTGTGGTGCCTGGTATCTTTTTCCGACATGACAAAGGATGCGGAGCCTGGATTTTGGCTAATGTTACACAGAAGGATGATGCTTCTCATGCAATGTAACTATGTAACCACGGTGGCGGGGGAGAGGGAGGTGGGAGACACTCTATATTCTCCCAGTACATGGCGTCGCTGTCTACATATTTAGAGGAAATTAACTTATATTTTGAGTAAATATAGGTACTCAGTCCAGGTTTTGGAGGCAAGATTTTTTTTATCATCTGATTAGTCACCTTCAGGGAAAAATGACCAAAGAATGCCAAATATAGTAGTTTATCTATCTTTCATTTCACTCCTCTATCTATCCATATTTCTTCTGGTGCACCAGCTCGTTACTTGTTGCAGTCTTCACCCCGGGCACATCCGCTCCTTGTGGGGTATGGGATTGTTTCCAGGGGGCGATGAGGACCTTTGGGGTCATTGTGGAGATTCCAGAAATATCATTGACTCTGATTTGCAAATGGCTGTTGTTTGCTAGTTCCTTCTTACGAACGAGAAGGAACTAGCATCATGCAATCATTAAATGTTTACTTGGGACTGCCGCTTTGGCCGAGATCATACACACGGGTGTCATACTTGACAACAATAGATGGCTGGCGAATTTAATATTTTATAACATTTCAACTATTGCTAAGATACGCCATTTGCAAGTCAGAATCACTGATATTTTTGGAGTCACAAGGTCCCGTCTGGAAGCGCCAACGCCCCAAGGGAGGCGCTACCGTTTACAGTGAGAACCACTGGGTTCGAACTTTCCTTCAAAACCAATTTCCCTGAAGATTTGAGCCAGGAATCGTGGTCTCGCGAATCATGAAGCATCTCTTAGTGTAGTCAGCTGCATTTTTTTTTTCTTTGTGCTGGGCCTGTTAAACGTCCAACTTTTTATTACACTGTTCTTCATTCAATTACTATGCTCACGCTACCCAAACGCTGCAATTAGGGATCAGATTTACTTGCATACATAAATCTGTGTAATACTGGATTTAATCTATCTTCTTTCAGTGCCTGTAATGATTTATATCTCCTTTGAGAAAACTTTTTGAGAATGATGATAATAATGCATATGTACATTAATATGATGTATACATGAATGTGTGTGTGTTTATGTATGAATGAGAATGAATTTCTCCATAGCGCAAGAAATAGTTCTCATTCGTACCTTTTTTCTATATGTCATAATGAGCACTGTTCACACACATGTAAATGTGCACAAGCACAGTGTAGGAACTTATTCAGCTGAAGAGCATCGCTTCGTGGGCCTGAGCAAAATAACAGATATATTAACAGAATATATATTTTTTTTATTAAAATTTCTTGATATTTACAAAAATAAGGCAATCAGGTCAGCCATAAGTTTTGTAGGAAAAATACAATATTCTAATGAAGAGAACGGTTTCGTTTGAGAACAAGGTAGTTCACATTATCGTGCTAGATATAAAGAGAAGATACTAGTTATGAGACCACAAATCTAGTTTAGAAAGGAGCTCCGTAGGAGTTGGATGGGGCAGCTGGAGCACCGTAACCGTTGCTTGGGGCAGGAGGAGCACCGTAGCCGTTGCCGCCTCCGTTTCCGTTCCTTCCGTTTCCGTTAGAGCCGTATCCATTGCTTCCGTTCTTGCCGTTTCCATTCCTTCCGTTGCCGTTGGTGCCATAGCCATTACCGTTGCCGTTGGTGGCGGGTCCGTAGGCGTATCCGGCGTCGGGAACGACTCCGATGAGTTCGTTGACGGAGTAGAAGCTCTCAGCTTGAGAACAGTCCACGTTGAACCACCAGTCACATACCAGGTACTGCTGGTTGAAGATGGTACCGTTGGGGCACAGGAACGAGTCCTGTTGGCGGCTGAGGGCGCGGTCCTGGCAGATATGGAACACCTGGCAGCCGGCTTCAGCTGCAGTGTCGGCGTAATAACCTTGCACCGCCTGGGCATCGCACGAGAAGCCGGTGTCGGGCACGGAAGCCAAGATGGGGTAGTCCTCGCCGGGGACGCCGCCCCCGGGAATGTTCTCGGCCAAAGCGGCAATCTCAGGGTCTACTCCGTAGGCGCCGTTGGGCGTGCCATAGGTGTTCCTGGGAGCTGCATAACCGTTGCTAGGAGGAGCAGGTGCTCCATAACCGTTACCGTTGCCGTTTCCATTTCCATTTCCGTTGAATCCGTTAGTGGGTGCACCATATCCGTTACTGGGAGGAGGAGGTGCTCCATAACCGTTTCCGTTACCGTTTCCATTTCCGTTGAATCCGTTAGTGGGTGCACCATATCCGTTGCTGGGAGGAGGAGGTGCTCCGTAACCGTTACCATTTCCGTTGAAACCATTGGGGCGGTCGGCCACAACGACGCCAAGAATTGCTGTAGATATGATTCCTAAATGTTAAAATATGGAGTGACAATCGATGAAATATGAAATAGCGAACATGTGTCTTTTTGTAAGATTAATCTCCCACTATACAGTATAAATGGCTATTTTGTTAAAAATGTAATCGATGGATAATGAAAAAAATACTAATCATACACATAGATATATATGTGTATGTATATGTATATGTGTTTATATATGTATATATACATATATATAAGAAAAAATCTAGGACGAACCGAAAACGATGAGGGACTTCATTGCAAGGCGCGGGAGAGGAGGAGGGAGAGTGACGATAAACCGACTGGCGGCCAACCTTTATACTCGAAGGCGGTTCAGACTCCGCCCACCGACCTTCGTTCTGACTTAGTTTAGCTGTCGGTGTGAAAAACGAGGTCGCTGCTATAGAAAAAAATAGTATTTTGCAGAAACTTACACACACACACGCACACATCTCTCTCTAAATGTGTGTGTGCTTTCAAGAGCAGGGCGATGTGAGTGAAAATTGATTCAGAGATGTTTGTGATTATTTATTTATTTATTCATTTACGATGAAAATGGAGCTGATGATGATTGTGCGTATTATATAAGCCACTAGATGATAAAGAAGCAGCTAGTAAACTTTTATAATTCCAGTCTGTGGTTTCTCTGGGTCATCGTCGTCAGTCTTAGTTAGTAGTGACTTATCATTCTCACTGTTTTAATATTGTTGTTATTAACATATTGCCAATACAATTGTTTTCATTACTCCATTCTAATTTTGACTACCATTTCATTGTTATAAATTTTATCCTCATTGGCATGTGTCATCTTTTCGTTGTGTTGTGTTGCTATTTTGTCGTTATCATCAGTGTTTTCGTACTCTTTACTATTATTGTTAATGTCTACATTCCATTAATATAAATTTAATACATATGAATCAATTATAAAAAAAACAAACATTTAGCCGCTGTTATCTCAGGAGATAATCTGGCAGAGCCAACCAAGAACTTGTGGTGCCTGGCATCTTTTTCCGACATGACAAAGGATACGGAGCCTGGATTTTGGCTAATGTTACACAGAAGGATGATGCTTCTCATGCAATGTAACTATGTAACCACGGTGGCGGGGGAGAGGGAGGTGGGAGACACTCTATATTCTCCCAGTACATGGCGTCGCTGTCTACATATTTAGAGGAAATTAACTTATATTTTGAGTAAATATAGGTATTCAGTCCAGGTTTTGGAGGCAAGATTTTTTTTTATCATCTGATTAGTCACCTTCAGGGAAAAATGACCAAAGAATGCCAAATATAGTAGTTTATCTATCTTTCATTTCACTCCTCTATCTATCCATATTTCTTCTGGTGCACCAGCTCGTTACTTGTTGCAGTCTTCACCCCGGGCACATCCGCTCCCTGTGGGGTATGGGTTTGTTTCCAGGGGGCGATGAGGACCTTTGGGGTCATTGTGGAGATTCCAGAAATATCATTGACTCTGATTTGCAAATGGCTGTTGTTTGCTAGTTCCTTCTTACGAACGAGAAGGAACTAGCATCATGCAATCATTAAATGTTTACTTGGGACTGCCGCTTTGGCCGAGATCGTACACACGGGTGTCATACTTGACAACAATAGATGGCTGGCGAATTTAATATTTTATAACATTTCAACCCAACTATTGCTAAGATACGCCATTTGCAAGTCAGAATCACTGATATTTTTGGAGTCACAAGGTCCCGTCTGGAAGCGCCAACGCCCCAAGGGAGGCGCTACCGTTTACAGTGAGAACCACTGGGTTCGAACTTTCCTTCAAAACCAATTTCCATGAAGATTTGAGCCAGGAATCGTGGTCTCGCGAATCATGAAGCATCTCTTAATGTAGTCAGCTGCATTTTTTTTTTTTTTTTTTTTTTTGGTGCTGGGCCTGTTAAACGTCCAACTTTTTATTACACTGTTCTTCATTCAATTCCTATGCTCACGCTACCCAAACGCTGCAATTAGGGATCAGATTTACTTGCATACATACATCTGTGTAATACTGGATTTAATATATCTTCTTTCAGTGCCTGTAATGATTTATATCTCCTTTGAGAAAACTTTTTGAGAATGATGATAATAATGCATATGTACATTAATATGATGTATACATGAATGTGTGTGTGTGTTTATGTATGAATGAGAATGAATTTCTCCATAGCGCAAGAAATAGTTCTCATTCGTACCTTTTTTCTATATGTCATAATGAACACTGTTCACACACATGTAAATGTGCACAAGCACAGTGTAGGAACTTATTCAGCTGAAGAGCATCGCTTCGTGGGCCTGAGCAAAATAACAGATATATTAACAGAATATATTTTTTTTTATTAAAATTTCTTGATATTTACAAAAATAAGGCAATCAGGTCAGCCATAAGTTTTGTAGGAAAAATACAATATTCTAATGAAGAGAACGGTTTCGTTTGAGAACAAGGTAGTTCACATTATCGTGCTAGAGATAAAGAGAAGATACTAGTTATGAGACCACAAATCTAGTTTAGAAAGGAGCTCCGTAGGAGTTGGATGGGGCAGTTGGAGCACCGTAGCCGTTGCTTGGGGCAGGAGGAGCACCGTAGCCGTTGCCGTTGCTGCCTCCGTTTCCGTTAGAGCCGTATCCATTGCTTCCGTTCTTGCCGTTTCCATTCCTTCCGTTGCCGTTGGTGCCATAGCCGTTACCGTTGCCGTTGGTGGCGGGTCCGTAGGCGTATCCGGCGTCGGGAACGACTCCGATGAGTTCGTTGACGGAGTAGAAGCTCTCAGCTTGAGAACAGTCCACGTTGAACCACCAGTCACATACTAGGTACTGCTGGTTGAAGATGGTACCGTTGGGGCACAGGAACGAGTCCTGTTGGCGGCTGAGGGCGCGGTCCTGGCAGATATGGAACACCTGGCAGCCGGCTTCAGCTGCAGTGTCGGCGTAATAACCTTGCACCGCCTGGGCATCGCACGGAGAACCCGGTGTCGGGCACGGAAGCCAAGATGGGGTAGTCCTCGCCGGGGACGCCGCCCCCGGGAATGTTCTCGGCCAAAGCGGCAATCTCAGGGTCTACTCCGTAGGCGCCGTTGGGCGTGCCATAGGTGTTCCTGGGAGCTGCATAACCGTTGCTAGGAGGAGCAGGTGCTCCATAACCGTTACCGTTGCCGTTTCCATTTCCATTTCCGTTGAATCCGTTAGTGGGTGCACCATATCCGTTACTGGGAGGAGGTGCTCCATAACCGTTTCCGTTACCGTTTCCATTTCCGTTGAATCCGTTAGTGGGTGCACCATATCCGTTGCTGGGAGGAGGAGGTGCTCCGTAACCGTTTCCGTTTCCATTTCCGTTGATTCCGTTGGTGGGTGCACCATATCCGTTGCTGGGAGGCGGAGGTGCTCCGTAACCGTTACCATTTCCGTTGAAACCATTGGGGCGGTCGGCCACAACGACGCCAAGAATTGCTGTAGATATGATTCCTAAATGTTAAAATATGGAGTGACAACCGATGAAATATGAAATAGCGAACATGTGTCTTTTTGTAAGATTAGTCTCCCACTATACAGTATAAATGGCTATTTTGTTAAAAATGTAATCGATGGATAATGAAAAAATTACTAATCATGCACATAGATATATATGTGTATGTATATGTATATGTGTTTATATATGTATATATACATATATATAAGAAAAAATCTAGGACGAACCGAAAACGATGAGGGACTTCATTGCAAGGCGCGGGAGAGGAGGAGGGAGAGTGACGATAAACCGACTGGCGGCCAACCTTTATACTCAAAGGCGGTTCAGACTCCGCCCACCGACCTTCGTTCTGACTTAGTTTAGCTGTCGGTGTGAAAAACGAGGTCGCTGCTATAGAAAAAAAAGTATTTTGCAGAAACTTACACACACACACACACGCACACATCTCTCTCTAAATGTGTGTGTGCTTTCAAGAGCAGGGCGATGTGAGTGAAAATTGATTCAGAGATGTTTGTGATTATTTATTTATTTATTCATTTACGATGAAAATGGAGCTGATGATGATTGTGCGTATTATATAAGCCACTAGATGATAAAGAAGCAGCTAGTAAACTTTTATAATTCCAGTCTGTGGTTTCTCGGGGTCGTCGTCGTCTTAGTTAGTAGTGACCTATCATTCTCACTATTTTCATATTGTTGTTATTAGCATATTGCTAATACAATTATTTTCATTACTCCATTCTAATTTTGACTACCATTTTATTGTTATAAATTTTATCCTCATTGGTATGTGTTATCTTTTCGTTGTATTGTGTCGCTATTTTGTTATTACCATCAGTGTTTTCGTACTCTTTTATACTACTATTATTGTCGATGTTTATATTTCACTCCTATACAATTCGATACTTATGAATCACTTCTAAAAAGTATTTAGCCGATGTTATCGCAGGAGATAATCCGGCAGAACCTGTGGTGCCTTGTATCTTTTTTATCATGACACCGGATACGGAGCCTGACTTTTGGTTAATGTTACACAGAGGGATGATGCTTCTCAATGTAACTATGTAACCAGAAGTAGCAAATGACTGTTTTTTGGTAGTACTTTCTTACGAAACTACTACCAAACAACAGTCCTACCAAGAAGGAATTAGCATTATACAGTCATTAGATATTTACTTGAAACTGCTGCTTTGGCCGTGAACATTCACATGGGTGGCGTATTTGACAACAATAGATGGCTGGCGAATTCAATATTTTAGAACACATTTCAAGTACTGCTAAGACACAGCTATTTGCAAGTCAGAATCACTGATATTTCTGGAATCACAAAGTCCCGTTTAGAAGCTTATACTTCCCCATAAGCCTTCAGTAATGCCAACGCCCCCGGAGAGGCGCTACTGTTTACGAGGAGGACCACTTGGTTCGAACTCTTCTTCGAGGCCAACTTCCCTGAAGACTTGATCCGAATCACGACACATTTCTTGTTGTCGCCAGTTGAAAATAATAATAGTAAAAAATAATTCAGTTTTGTTTGCGTTTGATATCTTCAAAATGACTTTTTATTCCTTTGTTCTTCGTTGAGTTAGTTTGCTCACGCCAAACGTAGCTTTTAGGGATCGGATTTACTTTCATGCATACTTTTGCGTGATAATCCTTTCAATGCCCGAACTGATTTCTCCTTTGCGCTTTTTTATGTGCGAGAAATCTTTTGGAGAATAATGATAATGAAACACACATACGTGCATGAATATGATATATATGTGTATTTATGTGTTTGTATGTATGTAAGATATAGTTCTCATTCGTACTTTTATCTATGTTTGTAATAATGTTCACACACATATAAATGTGCACACAGTGCAGGACCTTATTCAGCTGACGAGCAAAGCTTAGTGGGGCTGTGCAGAACAACAGATATTATCAGATTTTTTTTATTGTAATTTCTCGATATTTACAAAAATAAGGCAATCACGTCAGTCATAAGTTATGGATAAAATGTACAATATTCAAATGAAGAGAACGGTTTCGTCTGAGAACAAGGTAGTTTATATTATCGTGCGAAGGATGAATATAAAGAGAAGAAATTAGGCACGAGATTTTTAGAAAGGAGCTCCGTACCCGTTGCTTGGGGCAGGAGGAGCACCGTAGCCGTTGCCGTTGCTGCCTCCGTTTCCGTTCCTTCCGTTTCCGTTGGAGCCGTATCCATTGCTTCCGTTCTTGCCGTTTCCGTTCCTTCCGTTGCCGTTGGAGCCATAGCCGTTACCGTTGCCGTTGGTGGCAGGTCCATAGGCGTATCCGGCGTCGGGAACGACTCCGATGAGTTCGTTGACAGAGTAGAAGCTCTCAGCTTGAGAACAGTCCACGTTGAACCACCAGTCACATACCAGGTACTGCTGGTTGAAGATGGTACCGTTGGGGCACAGGAACGAGTCCTGTTGGCGCCTGAGGGCGCGGTCCTGGCAGATATGGAACACCTTGGCAGCCGGCTTCAGCTGCAGTGTCGGCGTAATAACCTTGCACCGCCTGGGCATCGCACGAGAAGCCGGTGTCGGGCACGGAAGCCAAGATGGGATAGTCCTCGCCGGGGACGCCGCCCCCGGGAATGTTCTCGGCCAAAGCGGCAATCTCAGGGTCTACTCCGTAGGCGCCGTTGGGCGTGCCATAGGTGTTCCTGGGAGCTGCATAACCGTTGCTAGGAGGAGCAGGTGCTCCATAACCGTTACCGTTGCCGTTTCCATTTCCATTTCCGTTGAATCCGTTAGTGGGTGCACCATATCCGTTGCTAGGAGGAGGTGCTCCGTAACCGTTTCCATTTCCGTTGAATCCGTTGCGGCGGTCGGCCACAACGACGCCAAGGATTGCTGTGGATGTAGATTTTTGGTTAATAACCATGAATTGATATACAGTATACATATGTGTGTCTGTGTGGATGCATAGCTAGAATTGAGAATATCACGAAAAAAGGAAAAGTGAGCGCGTTACGAACCACAGTAGATTAAAGTCTTCATCGCCGAAGAGTTCGCAGCAGTGAAAGGAGAGACTGACGTAGTGATAGCATGAAAGGCCAAGTTTATATACTGACGGTTTGGGTGGGACTCCTCCCACTGACCTCTCTCGATCGCATTCGAAATTGTAGCACTTATTACATAATATATATATATATATATATATATATATATATATGTGTGTGTGTGTGTGTGTGTGTGTGTGTGTGTGTATGCATGTATGTGTGTCTGTATGTGTGTGCATATATACATATGAATATATATATATATATATATATATATATATATATATATATATATATATATATATATATTTATATATACACATATATGAATATATACATATATATGTACACATATACATTTATATCTACACATATATATATATACTTGTGTATACATTATGTATATATATACATAATGTATACACAAGTATATATATACATAATGTATACACAAGTATATATATACATAATGTATACACAACTATATATATATATTTGTGTATATATATACATATACATATATATATGTGTATATATATATCATATATTTATATTGGTGTGTATATATACATATACATATATATGTATGTATATATACACATATATATGTATGTATGTGTAGGTATTTTATATATATGTATATATATATATATATATATATATATATATATATATATATATGATGCACATATGTTATATATATGTATGTGTGTGCATATATGCATATATATATCTATCTATATATACTGCATACACATACACACAAACATACACACATACACACACACACACACACACACATCTATCTGTATATATGTATGTATATGTATATACACATATACACATACATATATATATGAATATATATATTTATTTATATATATATGCATATATATGTATGTTTGTAGGTATATATATATGCGCATATATATATATATATATATATATATATATATATATATATATATATATATATACATATATATATATACATACATATATGTATACACACACACACACACACACACATACACACACACACACACACACATACACACACACACACACACACACACACATATATATATATATATATATATATATATATATATATACATATATGTATTTGTGTGTGTGTGTATATATATATATATAATCATAATGCATATACACACACATACATATATATGTATATATGTAAAATGCATATATATGTATGTTTGTAGGTATATATATATATGCGTATATATATATATATATATATATATATATATATATATACACATATGTGTATATACATATATATATATATATATATATATATATATATATATATATATATATATATATATATATATATATATATATATACACACGTATATGTATTTGTGCATATATATATACATATATGTATTTGTGTGTGTATATATAAATAATCATATATATATATGTATATATATATATATATATATATATATATATATACATACATACATACATATATATATATATATATATATATATATATATATATATATATATATATATGTATATATATGCACATAAATGTATATATGTACATATATATATATATATATATATATATATATATATATATATATATTTATATATATATACACACATATACACACATGTGTGTGTATATATATATATACATATATATATATATATATATATATATATATATATATATATATATATATATATATATATATGTATATATATGCACATAAATGTATATATATATATATATATATATATATATATATATATATATATATATATATATACATATATATATATATGTATATATATATATATATATATATATATATATATATATATATATATATATACATATACATATATCTTCAATAAATCTAGTTTTTACGTTGTGGGTTTTTTTACCATATATAAAAATATATATGTGTGTGTGTGTGTTTGTATGTGTGAATATATGTGTCTATGTATATATATATATATATATATATATATATATATATATATATATATATATGTATATATATATACATATATACATATGTATATATATATATATATATATATATATATATATATATATATATATATATATATACATATATATATATATATATATATATATATATATATATATATATGTATATATATGCGCATATATATATATATGCGCATATATATATATATATATATATATATATATATATATATATATATATATATATATATATATATATACTGCATAC